TACGCTAACGCGCAACAACGCTTCGATATCGTCTCTGAGTTCTATGGCAAAGAATTTGTTCTGTTCAGGGTAAAGCAGAATTCATACATTCTGTCTCCTTGGAAATATATGTTGAAGTAAATGTGTATTTATAGTCAGATAAGCCGCGCAGCCTCGAAGAGATCATAGCCGAAGAGCCCACAAAGAAAAAGTTGATCCTTCAGCATCTTGAGGAGCAGCTTCAGACACTAGTTGATAAGTAAGTCAATTCAAATACAATTTTCAGTGATGTTCTAACCTTTTCATGAGCTATGTCATTTTCAAGGACCACAGTGCGCCTCTCACTTTGTCATCGGCTCTTGAGAGATTTCGCTAGTCATTGCGATCCTGAGCAGCTTACGAATTTGATTGACTCACTCAAGGATAGAATTCCCGAAATAGTTCATACACCGGATGGATCCTATGTTGCTATGAAGTGTATTTGGAATGCCAACGTGAAGGATAGAAAGGTGAACAAGACATTTTTTTCATTCCCATTCCTTATTTATTGACATATTTACTTTTGTTACTGGATTTGGATTTGGGTTACTGGTCAAGTTCGTATTGTCTTGACAACAGTTCTGAGTTTTTTTTACTCCCATCTATTTATTCATAAATTATAAATAGTGCAAATCTTTAAATCGCGACTCCCTAACAATTAGGCTTGTAGCCTGCGGACAATGGATGGCAGTGGAGAATGAAGGTGATACCCAACCGCTCATAACACTTGGCCAAATCCATCCCTTGCATTTACCCGTATTTCCATGCCATTCATGAAATGATGACACGAATTACCTTGAAAGTCTTGAAGTGCGGCTAAGTCTTACTAAAGATAACAGCGGTTATTCTCTTTCGACTACTGCACAGTTTAATAGAACTTCGATGATTTGTGCTTATTTTCAGTTGATAGTCAAAAACTTCAAAGATCTGGTGGTCAAAGTAGCAATGGAACATTATGGACATCGAGTTCTACTTGCACTTTTCGACACTATCGACGATACTGTTCTTGTCAATAAGTGCATAACTACTGTAAGCTATAAATTTTGAAATCATAATCTTGAACCACATAAAAAGAATTTTTCAGAGAGATTTAGCAGGGAGTAGGGAAGTATAACATAGAGGTAGCTCACGATCATGGTAAAAATTGAACATTGAAGCAAAATTGTGGAACAAACCACACTATCGCGGTTTTTGATTATACCTCATGGCTAGCTTGAATAATAATTGGGAAGTATAAACGCCGGCGAACAGAGAGCAAGAGCTGATTTGGCACGAGTGAGTTCAAATAAAAGTTGTGATTAGGCTTCGGGATAGCCCA